TTAGGAGTTCAGTTACCTCCTATAGATTCAGAAGGGAAATCTTAACCTGGTCTTTCCATCTGTAGTGTATCAACTTCAGATGCCAGGGTTACAGTTTTCACAGAGTAGTTCTTCAAAGCTGAGGATTGCATAGAAATAGGAATATTCTTGGTGATGTATAATGATGATATTTGAAGCGAGCGCTCACTAACAAATTCAGCTAAGAATGAATTTACTCTGCTTGGAACCAGTCACGTGAGTTATTTTCTCCAGGGGCTGGATGGCTTAAATGCTTTGATTTTATTCATCTTACTGGACTATGTGGCACTATTGGAGTACATCTGGAGAACAGAATGCTTAAGTGTTTTTTTACCTGGGCAGTAATAAGTGCTGAGGACCTTGCTCTGACCACTGTGACAGTGTTTTCTGGCCATGACCATTTAAAGAAGTTTAGTAAATAAGGATCAGAGGATCTCTTCTTCCACCAGCTCCACAGCTTCTTGTTAGTCATTTTACAGATAACTGTGGAAATGCTACTAGGATCTGTCTGGAGAGGGTCAAATGTGTTTCTTCATCTCCTTTTGCTGTGCTCCACTTAGTAGCCAAGCAATGCCCCAGAGACCACCAGTAGCTATCCTATAGGCTGATGCACATCAAAGAATGTCCTGGGTGTCTAAAGGCAGAAAAGGAGGCAAGTCTGTAAAAAAGATATCAGGTTTATGAATAAGAGATATGCAGTTTAGTTGTTTTGAATGTATCTGGATAATGCATCTGGGTTGAAGATAGGTAACAAATAGTAGAATTACAAGTGATTTGTATAGACTCATAGAGGTGAGATTTCCTTTGCTTACTGGAATTCTTTTTGGCAAATGTTTCCATAATTTCCTTTGAGCTGCCACTTAGTCCTGTCCAAGGTAGCAGGGAGTTTTGCTAGTGTTACAAGGGAGAAAAGACACATAAAACATTTAAAGCAAATATAATAGCTTGGAACTGTGTTTTGAGAATGCATTTGATTTGAGCAGTAAATTTCATTAAATCCTGCCAAACATGAAAAGCCAGTCTCAACTTCCCAGTCCCTTTATTTGCTATCAGCACTTTAAATCAGCTTAATATTTTACCTTCACCCTTGGTTGCAAAGCATGATGGACAAAATCATTATCTGTGAATGCCGTCGCTATTAGGAAAGAGAGACGAAAGGAAGAGCTAAGAGGGAACAGGGCTAGCAGGGAGCTGGTATCTACAAGAGTAAACAGACTTCAACAGTATGATGGGAGGAGGGAGCAGGATGGGAAAAATCATCCTTTCGTAATTTAATTAAGGTTCTGCGTCTCCTGAAGAGCTGTGGTTACAAGCTGCCAGGCTGAGGGCTAGTATTTGAAGGTCGTTTAAATAAGTAGAGATGTCAATTGTTGAAGGGACAAAGCTGACCTTTGCCTCCCACCTCTTGCCTACATGCAGAGATATTACCTTCCTTCCCTGCAGTAAGTAAGAGCTTTCAATTCATTGTTTTAGAGTTGGATTACAGTTACTAAACTAATACTAAGCAACCAGCAGCATCTGTGAACTGCAGGGGAGGGGACTGCCTTATCATAGGGTCACCTCTAAGAAAAATCATGATTTGTTTCAAAGCAACAGAGCTGATAAATTGGATTAGGGACAGAGTGAAACCTGTCTGAAGAGTGAGGGTGCTGTGGACTTCAAAGATGTTGGCATGCCGTGTGGAAACCAGGCTCATGTATGAGTAATGCATTGCAGTCTGTGGGCAACAGTAGAACCAGAATCTGTGGCATGAAAATACAGTGCCTTGTCACACCCTCTGCCTGGATTTAATGTGTTAATAGACTTGATTAGGAGTTTTTCTGACATGCTTTTCTATCAGATCATGGGATTTTTTTGTATATTCTGAAGGAATAAGGAAGTTTTTTACAGAGGTTTTTAGTTTAATCTAAGGAATAGTGAAAAACTGAGCTTGGAGTTGGTTTGGCATTAATCTCTGTATTTACTGAATCCTTTTAGAAGTAGTTTTCAGTTGTCATGTTTCTACTCCCCTTCATGTCTGACTTTGTATGTTGGATTCTTCTAGCATGTACCAAGGCATTTTAGCAGAGGGACATGTGAAGATGCTTTGGGTAGACATGAATTTGTGTCAGTTCCAACAGGAAAGGTGAAGTGAATAGGGCTTTTTTTTGCATGTGAGCAATGATAGTGTTGAAAAACTATTTCTGTAGGTTTGAAATAACAAGACTTTCTTCCTGATATTACATTGAAGTATGAGAATAAAAGTCCCTTTGTTATTCTTTTTCTCAGAGCAGAAATTCTGTTGTTTTTTTCCATTAGTTGTGCTCCTTGGTATTTTCGTCATGCTCAAAGACATCATACGTGTATGATAGGGAAGTTTTTGGGTCTCGTTTTTTACTAGTCACACTGGGGAAAGATGAGGTTTTGAATGCAACACCGTGAGTCTTTCTGTGGGGTTGTACCTATTAAAAGAAAACTGTAAGCACACTACTCCTTGGCAGAAGTATAGCTACTAGTCCCAGATGAGCAGCTGTTGTCCTGAAGATCAGAAGTGAGTCTAAAGGTAACTTTAAAGTTACCTAAAGGTAGTTTTAGATAAACTTTCCAGAAGTTGTCATGTTTTCAAATATTAGCTGTTGCTAATGTTTTCCGATTTGCTGAATGAGTAACATTAGAACCATGGATTACAAGGAAAGAGGGCAGTCCAGAAAACAGTGAAACTACAGTAAACTTGGAATGGATCTTGTGATGTTGCCAGAAACCCCAAGATGGCATTAGAGACCTTGTTTTTCTACAGAAAAAAATGTATGAAATATTCTTAGGGACTCTTATTATTTCTTTGCATTTCATTCCAACCTAGGCCATTCTATGATTCTGTGATTCTTAACTCGTTCTTCGTTGTTTAGACTTTTTTTATTTTTTTAAAGCATTCGTGCTTTATGACACTTTTCCCCTAAGCATCATTTGACATTGATAATGCTAAAGATACTACAGGAAGCACACCTAGCTGCAGTGCAAGCCTCTGCCGATACAATGACAGGCCAAATCCCTCCAAATACATTTGTACTTTATTTTGTTTTAAGAGGCTGGAACAGCAAAGATGGATGCAACTCTGCAGCTAGAAATTAATTCAACACTTGGGATTTTTTTTATTATTTTTTTAAAGTACAAGCCAGTCCGAGTTTAGAATGTCCCCAGAAGCAGCATTCTAGTGCTGAGCTGGATAGTATAGAGATGATAAGGAACTACCACAATATCTCATGAGCTGGAAACTTGATTCTTGAATTTTGTCAGCACACCACAATTTGAAAATTGTGAACCGAATTACAACAAATCCTTTGAGGAGCGTGAGGAAGCTCTGATCTAAACACAGTCACTAACAAGGGAGATTAGTTAGGTTTTGCAAAATTGCACAGCAATACACCTCTCCATATGGTCAAGTATCCTGCACAATCTTCCACTGATCACTGAGGCAGTAACAGGATATGTTCAAGCTAACTAAGGGAAACATTTTCTCAGTGCAAATCTGAGATCCCTATTTAGCTTTTTATTCAGCCTTTGCAGTAAAGCTAGGTAATTGTTCTATATAATGATGTAGCATGCATCAAGGTCTTCTTGACGTGCTTTAGATAGCAGCATTTCTTGTCTGTGGAGAAGCTTAAATGAGATATCTAGCTCATCTCATTTAAGTGCATTCATATTTCAGACTGATCGAAGAGATTCAAGTGCCTGTCTTCAATTAAAATGAGTAGGAGCTGGATGTACTTGTTTGCTATGGAGGTTTGGAGAAGCCTGTGCTCTGTATAAGCTGGGCAAATTTCATAGATAGCACAGAATTTAGAACATTTTGGAAAGCTTTTTGTTTGCTAGCAGTCTTTTGATTTGCACATACTTACGTAAAGGAAAAAATGCATTTAGTATCAGGACTGCAACTATGTGAACCTTGGAAGGAAAGGAAATTGTAAAATTTGTATAGTATAAGTACCTTTGAAATATAATATGAACTGTTGGTTCATTCCAACCCGATGTTCAAATCCTTAATATCTGTGCTCTGATATTCCCTGTCGTTGTGCCAGGGCTTGCAGAATCGGAGACTTTATGGAGTCAGCTGTTGTTTTGCTGGTTTGTGATCTGTTGCTTTCTGATTTCAGCCATCGTTGTTCGTTGAGTGGGGATGATCTGAACAGACAGTGGTTGACACCCAATTCCCAGCTCCACCCTACTATTTACCATGCTAAAGGTCTTCTCTATTACCTGCGCAGCATTGGCCGAGCTCCTCTGGTGAGTCTTTTCCAGGATCTTTTGTGAGTTATTGTATACAAATTGCTTACTGTAGTTGGGTGAACAGTCATGTTTTAGAGCTAGAGGAATTTGTAAAGCATCATATGCCATTACACTTCCATCTTATAAAATTGTTTTGAAAGTCTTGAATATTTATTACTTACTGAATCTTCTAACCAACAACTCCAAATTTCAGAATCTCTGCACACCTGGAATATAAGTGAGAAAATGAATTCTTTAAAGCTCTTTAGTATCTTCAGAGTACTCCAACTAAGCTAAATATTATGAGTAGGTTATTGCTATCTTCATGACAATGATAGGAGATACTCCACAAAGAATGAACTGCGCAAAAGTCAATGTTGGTGCAACCCATGCAATCACAGAAACACAGAAAGCAGCCCTCAAAATGTCTGAACTGCCTTGCTGCTTTGGTAATGGAAAGAAAATGGCTGATTTTGGGAGGTACCAGAAATTCATGAGATGAGTCTTGTTTCAAAGCTGCAGCTAAGGTGGTAGGGCTGGGATCCATCCCATCTGCTCCATCTTGTTGCCCAGCAGAATAAAAAGATAGTTTGGAGATATCAAGAAAAAACACAGGGAGTTTCAAACGTTAATGAACATATGTGGAGGCACAGGCTGGCAGGTCAGCTGGTGATAGTTACAGTCAGGCAGGAATTGTCAAAAGATACCTCATTCCCTGTGGGTTTGATAAAAAAAGTCCCAGACAAGGTGAAAATGTCTGTGACCTTCTTTAAGTGAGTTCTTGTGGGAACATGTTTTTTGGCTAAAGCAACAGCCCTGAAGTTCGCTGCAGGCCAAGGAATATCGTGGAAACTCAACTCACAGTTGTGAATTTACTCACCAACCTTTTCCGTTGGTTCAGAGCAGAGAGCAGTGTAGGATCAGTCTTCTTTTACCCTGCTATTTGCTGTCTGGCCTTTTTGAATACGCAACCATCGTTGTCATATCCAGGTGCATAAAGTTGAACACTCAGTGCAAGTTTTCATCATTGCTGAGTGAAGGGAGACTATTGATCCTATCATCTCCCTCACTCACAGGCTGCACGTCAGACTTGGTAAACTGATTTTTCTTTACCTTTGAAGAGCGCATTGATTTTAGTTTATACATGCTCAAAAATGCCTTTTTCCTCCTCTAGCAGAGATATTTTTTTCTTTTTGTTTTTCTCTTTGTTACCTTCAAGATCCCATAGAAGCAAGTTCACTGATAACCAAATGATTTCTGTGAAGTGATTTAGTTTCATTTATCCTGGAGGTGTGCAAGTAGTTTCTTCAAAGCAGAGAAAAGCTGCATGAAGGAGAAATGGAAAGAACTTTAAAGTTAACAGTCTTTCAAACCATAGCCCTCTCAATTGGTAGGTTTATAGACACCAGCCTGCAAAATGCTTTCTGGGCTCTGGGAACTCCAGTAGGATATTGCAGCCCTTTGTCGCATGGGATCTCTTTTCGACTGGGAGCAGCCAAGTGGCAGTGTTGGAGACCCTTTGCCTGGGGAGAAGAAAGTTGCTCTTTCCTTGAGCATTTGTGGTGAGAAACTTCAGTGGTTTAGAAGTTAGACCTGATGATGCAGTTGCAGCATGCAACAGGGAACCTGGAGCTTGTGCAAAGAATCTACTGCAGTGAAGAGCAGGCTGCCCTTGGGGGGCACAGAAAGAACTTCCTAGTGGACCAGGAGTCACTGAGGAGAGTTTGCAGCTATTCGAAGGTGTTATGTCAAGCCTGGAAACGAACATCTGCCTGCAAGGATGTAGGTCATTGTGAGGAAAAAGTCCTAGGCATGTCTACTTCAAAAACTTCAAAGTGCTGTTGCAACGCTATTAAGGAAAAAAGTGAGGCTTTATGGAAGAAAAAAAGAGATTTCAAAATGTTCAGTTTTCCAGCAGATTTTCTTGCTTTCCATTTTCTGTTTTGCTTTTCCTTTATTTTAAAAGGTGCCTGGTTCTGTGACTCATGAGGAAGGTTGTTTTTGAGTTAGAAAGCAGTCCATACCTTTAGGATGATCAGTGCTGGCAAATACCTTTAAATAGATGAAAATTTGCATGTGTCTCTTGAGTCATACCCAGTGGGTGCAAACCTCAGGAATCTGACTGGTGTATGTATATTGGTGTCCCAGCCATATGGAAGGACAGGGCAGAGAAAAAGGGCTGGTAGGTCCCAAGATTACTCAGTGTTAGTCCAGACATCTGTATTGGGTGCTCAAACTAAAAAATAGAGCTTATTCTTGGCTAAATGGTGAGAGGCAAGCTAACCTGTAGTGTCACAATGAGGCAGAAGAATGTATTATAAGAATAATTCAGTATAAACACTGGGAGTGACTGCAATATCCAGCAAACAATTAAAATATAGCTCTGTGCAACTGGCAAATAAAGTGAAAATACTTCAATTAGCACTGATGCTTCTACTGTGGAAGCTGGCAACAATCAATGAAAGATCCCATGGCCTGAAACGTCAGCCATGTTACAGAGCCTGGCTTTGATAAATCTGTGTCAATAAAGAAGTCTCATTCCAGACCTGTCATTAAGGACTCATCTGCAGGTTTCTTGAGGTGCAAAATTATAGACCTGCTACTGATCAGGCAGCCTCACTATCTGACTATCTGGTCATCTCTGTGTGGTTTCTGATACATAAAATAATGTTTTAGGCAGATAATATATCGTGTCTGTTGTGTGTTGGTAATTCTTTAAATTGGCAGGTAATTGATATCAATTTGAGCTGGGTTCTCTGCCTTGAAATAAGATGAAAGCTGTAAAATCCTATTTGATATTCGTAAGAATAAATTCCAGATGGTACCTGTGGTTAGCCTAAGCTGTGACTGTGTATCACTGATAGCTTAGATAAAACACCGGCTGGAAAAATGTCACTATGAGAACCAATAAATGCAGCTCTTTGGAAGGAAACATTACAGAATAATTGCTGTAGTTCAGACAGAGCTACTTCAAGTATAGGAGCTGCAAAAGCCCTGTAAATATGCACATAGCCTAAGAGGGCTGAATCTCTGGTGTCTGTGCAATGATGTTGGTATTTTTCCTTTAGAAATGGTGCTGGTTGGAGGTTTGCACCAATGAGCATCTCTCACACTGCCCTGTTTGTCCTCCCCTTTCTGCCTTCTCTAGGTAGCAAGGGTATCAGCCAAGTCGGAGTGGTTGTTGTTGGCTGGGTCGCTGTTCACAGACTTCATACGTGGGAAGTGGATGCTGCAGGGATGGGAATGTTGAGACCCAGAAGCCTGCAAAGAGAGCTGGGAGAGAGAGGTGGTACAGGACGGATAGTTGACGAGTCAGAAGCCAAAAGAAGCAGCAATGTATTTGCTATAAAATATGTAAAATTGCCCACCTAATTATGAGCAGTGAGACAGTTCGTTATACGTGTGTGCCTTAGCCCCTCCTCTATGTCAACCTGCTGTTTGTCAGAGGAGCTGAAAGAATGTACATGCTCAGTTCCTGGATAATTAAACTCCCTGACTTGCTGTGGCTGAACTTAGTTACTGTATAGCTAGTAAATAAACATACTTGGGTAGATTTTTCCCTAACTATTGGTGGAAGAAACTCATCTACTCTGTTTTTCCCCTCTTGTGTATGTAATTATGTAAGAATATGTGTATTTTTTTACCTTGTATTTCTCTCCCATCTCTCTTTGTAGTGATTCATAATTTTTCCCTACCTTCCTATATCCCTTCTTTTGTCTCCAGCATAAGTCCTGGAAAACTGCTCAACAAGATCTTGAACCTCCTTTCTACTCAGTGGTGAATACTTGTCTAAATTGAACCAATTCCTTCTCTTTAGAAATTCTTGTCTTTTCATTGTCAGATTTCTGAATATTCCTGATAAAGACATGGAGAACATATGTAACAGCGGTGTGCATATCGACTTCATATCTCAGAGGGCACTGAGATTGATTATTCTTTAAGGCTCGGGTCAGTATTTACCTCTTGGGTCATTAAATAGTGATTTTCATTTCTTTAGGAGTCGATATCTACCTATAAAGGCAATCAAAACTTCCGCTGAAACTGGGAATGTGCCTTGTGCCTAGTTTATATGACAGCTGACATGAGAGAGATGGATTAGATAGACAGATAGATTAGTGCGGAATGAAATAATTTACTATGAAGATAGGTCACGTTCTGTGCTTGGCTTCCAGGAAGTCATGCAAAGATCTGACAGCGTTGTGCAATACAATTGCACAATTATATTTTCCTGAAAATTATGTAGCACAGGTTTTGAATTTGAAGATGATGAAGTGATGATTAATTGCTTGGGAAAGCACAGATTTCAAATCTCATGAGGATAAAGCTGGAGTTTAGAGGTAGGAAGAGCATGACAAATTGCTCTGTTTTTTAAGTTACCATGAACCCTTAGGTTCCTGAGTTGTCATGGATTCTTGCACAGGTGTCATGTTTATTTCTGCTGCAGAGAGAAATGTGCTACTCTTGACTCCAGATTACTGAGATCATGTCAGATTGAATAAAAAAAGCAAGATACTACTGCCTAACAGAGTTTGACACAGGTTATAGGCGTGACCCAGAGTCTAAACTACTCTGAAGAGTCCTGAAAAAAATGTTAGCAACCGCCCTATATAGTCTTATAGGATTTTGCCTTTATTTTTCTCCCTACCTAGGTATTCTGTGACTACCATGGACACTCCCAGAAAAAGAATGTATTTCTTTATGGCTGCAGCATCAAGGAGACCTTGTGGCAAGCAGGCTGCATGGTTGACACAGCAGTTATCACAGAAGATGTTGGCTACAGGGTAGGTCTACTTTGTTCCTTTCTGCAATCACTGGCACATATGTGCACCCAGGCAGCTAGTTAAGATAAGGCCAGCTCACAAGCTTTGGAGATAGGTGCAAACTTTCATCCCCTCACTCCACCATAATTAGAAAATTAATAGGAATTTTGTAAATGGTAACTGAAAAAAATGATAATGTGCCACTGTCCTACTCAGTTGAATTGCTTCATCACAAAATGCTTCTGGTCCCACCTAAAACACCAGAGAATTCAGCCACTGAATAGATGATGTTTTCCTTTTAAATGACAAATTTCTGTGGAAAAAAATAATCTTATAAACTCTAATTATAGTCTTAAAAATGTTAATTTCACAAAACATTGCTTGTGGCCTTAAACTGATTATAGAGGTATAGTTTGGTTCACCCCAACCTGAAAGATATTGAAAAGTCTTTTTCAGTTTACATCTCCTCATAATTTTTGCTACTTCGGCATATCTGTGTTCATCTTACGGAGTTGTACCCAGCGTGCTGAAACTTTACTGGGAGAAAGTGCTTTGGCATTTGCTAAGGGGGGGTCCCTGTGGCAAACACTCTGTTTCACAAAGAAAGCAGGGAGAGTCCTTAGAGTCAGGACGTCTTTGGTGCGTTTGAATTCGGAGGGCTTGGAAATGCTGAGGATGGTTCCCTGTTACGCAAACAGAATTCGAATGCCTCTGTCAGCATCTGGAACCTGTCTTGAATCTGCAATGAAGAAAGGCTCCAAGGCTGTCCAAGAATACTCTGCAGAACCTATAAGAAAGATTTCGATGGCTCAAATCCTATTTTTTGCACAAAATGGAAGATGAGTGCCTGCTGCAATTCCTGCATATGGGTCACCTTCTTAGGGTGGGGAAACTGAGTATATAGCAGAACACATCTGCAATTGCCAGCTGCAGCAGATAATCACCCCTGACTCAGACCTGTGTCACCGCCCAGTTTGCATGGGATTCTCTTCTGCCTCCTGTAGGTCTCTGGGGGTTAATCTGGCCTCCATGACTGATTTTTCTTCCCAGGAGCAGGAACTAAATACCTCAAGAAAATGTTGGGTTTTGGAACAACCTTTACCTCGTAGATCATAGACTCAGCTGTAGCCCTTGACAGGATACAGGAATAAGAGCTTTCGTTACCTTCTAATATTTGGTGGCCTTGGGTGACTTGCACAGCATTGACATCACAAAGTCCAGCTTGAAGATTTGTCCTTCTGATAGCCATTCCAGGCCCCTTTGACAGCAGTCTCTGCAGGGTCATCAGTAAAGAGATACAATTCCATTCTCTACTAATGGGATTGGAGGTTTATGAGCAGGGTCCTATGTGATGGGAGTAGCTGCCTTTGCTGTTGAACGTGCTGAATCCAGCTGTGAGTGAGAAAGGGAACAGTCACACTGCTGCATGAGTGTAAAAGCATCCTTTAAAAGGGCATGTTTTCACTCTTTCAAAATATACTATTGGAAGATAATTAATGAGAAGAATAAGTAGAGAAGAAAGAACCATTAGTGTGAAATCCAATGAATGCTGGTAAAATGAAAAGAATATTAAATTCAGATTTGCTAATGCTCCTAAATGAGTCCTGTGTACAGAGACATTGCTGTTACCTGCCAGCGTTTTTATTTAATTAAATGTAAGAGATTGATTATGCATATAATTTCAATTGTTTTAAGAAGCTAAACTGGATTAGGGAGCTGATTATTGTATTTGGTAGTATATGTTTACAAAAAAAATCTGTGTGTTGGTTCAGATAAGGACAGAATGAAAAGTATCTGAATCTTCACAAACAGTTTAACTGGATCTCATGATTGCGCTGAGGCTTATAAACATGGGTGATAGGCTTTGCTGCATTTTTTTTAATTCCTGTTCAACCCAAATCCAGGAAAACCTGGAAGCACTGCATGAAAGCGTACTGTTTTGTGATCCCCGTGCACCAAGTAGCAGGTTGAAGGCAATCCAGAAATGTTGAGTGCTTCATGTAAGGCAAGCAGTCAATTTTAAAGATTCCTCTTTTCGATATGCCCCCAGGAAAGGGAGTTCTGTAGCTCTTTGCAGCACTCTGGAGATCTTAAGAGTGACATTCACAGGAGTCTGAGATTTAGAATTGAATCTCTTGCTTTCTTCTGGTTTTCTTGACCTCAGTTTTTTCAACTGAAAAATGGACCTTATAGATCTCTAGATCTCTAATTTACAGAACTGGTGAAGTCCATTGACAGCTGTAGCCAGAATATACTAAAAATGTAATTTACTTTTTTGAATGGAGATATATAGTGTCAAGCTGTTTGCAGGAGATATTGCAAAATAGTTTAGGCCAAAGCTTTATCATTCACATCAAACATGTTTTAGGAAAAGACATTATTTTTTCACTTTCAATGAAACCAAATATTCCTATGCAGTACTTTGAAGTAAAGCTTAACAGAACGGAACTACAATTGCTCAGAATCAGTCAGTGAAACTGATTGTTATTAGAAAGTAAAATTAGCTGGTTGGCTTTCACCACCAAACTGAATGAAATTCAGAGGTAAACGCTGTTAGCAATAAGCGGGAACTTCTATATAATTCCATTCAGTTCAGATGTTTAAGAAAGATTTCGTCAAAGAAATAATGAATATCTCCTTTTGCTTGATCTTCTCGAGATAGATCAAATGGTCCTTCGGCATGTGGTGTGGTTAGTATACCAGCACTAACATTTAGGCAGGCACACAATGTGTGTATGTGTACCTAGAGGTCCAGTTTCTACACAGAGCACACCTGGTGTTAATGTATCTAGTATATGTTTTTATAGAGTCTGAAAGTAACATAATTCGCACTGTGTAATGACTGTATTGATGGAAATATTTGATACTGCAGTGTATTTGTATTGTTTATAGGCTTTGTTGTTGGGAAATACGCTTTCTAGAAGAAGAAAATCACTCAGTTCTAAGATGTAAATTTTACTGTTTTTTCATGGTTACTTTTTATTGGGATTCTCCAGATGAAGTGTATACTCAGATGAGAAATTTTGTGTTTTTTTTTTTTTCCCCCACAATGCAAGTTAACCAAATGTTGAGCTCTATTGTCATATAATCATGTGTGACTTTCCATGAGAATACACGTCCCCTCTCTCTGCTCTATGCTAGGTTCAGACAAAACTCCTCCCATAGCTGAATCTCTTGCCCAGTTGTGGGTGCATGATGGGAGAAGATATAGTATTGCTGGAGAGGAGAGAATGGGAATATCAGGTACTGAACTATGGCTGCAGCCCTCTCAACAGGGAGGTGTAGGTTAATGCCAAACCAGCTTGAAAACAAAAGTGACTTCAGCAGTCCCAAACTACTGGGTGTGAAAATGTTTGACTGTGAATGAGATACTCCAAGTGTACGGCATATTTTTTATTTGAGTCTTTGGGATGAAACAAATCAGAGGATTTCACATGGAATGGACATAATGCACTGGCTGGAGCTCTCAGTAACAGTGTCTACAGATATATTTGATTATGCACACAGGTGTCTCTTTCTATGTGTGTATGAACACATGCACATCTGTTCAATTCATTTTCTCATCACTGCTGATATTTTCTCACAGACTCTTCCTAAAATCCTGGATAAAGTGGCCCCTGCATTTGTCATGAACAGCTGCAGTTTCCTGGTGGAGAAGTCCCGGGAGTCAACTGCCCGGGTGGTGGTATGGAAGGAAATGGGTGTGCTGAGGAGCTACACCATGGAAAGCACATACTGCAGCTGCAGCCATGGGCTCTACAAGGTGAGTAAATCTTTCAAAAAACTCTGTGCCACCCTCCTCCTGAAGCACATCCCATGAGCTTGAAAGGGTAAAGAGAACGAAATAGTCATTGTCTTGCTGCTTAGCATTGTCTGCACTGCCTCCAAACCCATGGTTCTGAGTTTCTGCTCAGTGAAATCTTTCCATGATCCCTCACTCTTTTATCTTCCATGTCAGCAAAGTAGAGTCTTTGCTTTGAGGTTTCATTCAACAGCAAAATAAAAAGAAACTCTGGTCTGAAGCCAAGAGCACTGAGCTGAAGAAAGGAATGTTTCTGAGATGATGTAGGGCACTTACCTTTATAAGGGCATTCACAGTGTTGTAAAAAATGTATTGGCAGGTCATATGGACACCTTTGAGCCTAGTTTGAAGGTAATCAACTTGCACGCTAGTGGCACCAAGCTCTTTGGTGCAGGCTAGATAGCTGGGCATTCACCTGGTGAAATTTAAAAGCCCACACTGAGAAGCCTGCATTTGGAGCTGCGTGTTTCTGTCAGCCAAAGGTAGCTAACTAAGGCTAGTTTTGACAGCTGTCCATGAGGTCCAGGTATGCCTGTGAGCCAGACAGACCTGAATTCTCCACCAAATGAAGTTCCAGTCTTGGCAGGAAGGGCTGTACTTGTACCAAAAGCATCAGAGACATCAGCCTATGACATCTCCTGGCACTTTTTAAGTACACAGGGTGAACTCTGGTAATTGCGTTTGAGTGATCTTAATTCTCCATTTACTCAAACAGTGAATTATTTCTCTTATTCCTTTCCCAAACCAAACTGTTGCTTTCATTGAAAGGCTTCCATATTCCATCTCATTTCTCCCACTAGGGAGCAATCCTTATCTGTGCAGTATTAATAAGCAGTTAAGGATCCTGAAAGACCCTTAAGGAAAGAGCTATTATTACAAATAACAATTAATTAATATGACATTCAAATTATTATCTTTGGAAGCTCTATACTAATCCTTTTACCTCTCTGTAGAATGTAGCCAGGAAGTACTCAACTGCTGTTTTAGCCATTCTCTACTATACACACATCAATTCCAAAATAGGAAAGGCAGAAGAAAAAAACAGCAGACAGTTTAAAGAAAAAAATATAATTGCCCTGGGCGTTATATCTAATGCTCCATACTCCTGAGAAGTGCTAATGGTTTTTTAATAGGCACCACAGGTCAAGACAGTGGTTTTGAATCAGTTTTAGACAGCGAGAGAAAATCTACCTCGACTGAAGTCAGTGACAAAAATTGCTGGTGATGTCTATAGAAAAAGATTTCACTGATTTTCTCTATAAGCACAGTAAGACCTAAAATCAGTGACGCATCAGATTGTATGAATCTCTTCTGATTTGTTCTCCTTTAGCATCCATGAGGTCTTTAACCTAAATTTGCTTTATTTGTGCCATTAGATGCTTGAAATAGTAGAAAGAAAACATTAAATGCCACATTCAGATGTTGCATTTAAGCACTGTGCTATCCACAGGGCCCTGCACTATAAAGTACAAAATGAGTAGAAAGACATAATGCAGATGGTTCAGGATTCTTTTTTTTTAAAAAAAAACCAACCCGAAATCCTTTAAAATGTTTGAAATTATTTTCTATATTCTTTCATGTCCTCTTTTTCATCTTAATGATTGGGACCACAGGCTGCCACTGTGGAAAAGAGCAAGTTGTTATATGAGGGCTTGTGACTGGTGACAGAATCTGATGTTGTCATGGCCCATAAGGAAGCCTGTAAGCTGTTAAAGCAGTTCTGAAATTTCTACCCTGAAAAGCTGAGTCCCAGATAAATCACTGCGCTATTTTTATGAGGTCACATATAATTCTTTTAAAAATTTTTGCTTTGTTTAGGATTATCGTTCATCTCAAAGATGGAGGACACATAAATATTCCCTTTAGGGGGAATTTCTTCACAACCACTTTTTGCAGTTTCTCTTATTCGGGCAGCTTTAAAGTATTTCCACTCATTTTTTCCAAGTACACTAAGTACTCAACTTGTTAGTATCAAAATGGAATGTAATTTCTTATGTTGACATTTATGCTGGAGCTGCATTGAAATACATAAACTACCTCTTTCAAATAATTTATATTAATAGCCTATTTCCTCTTCCTTTTAGCATCTTTAGAGTTGGTTCTTTCTTGATTGCTTGTTCTTACAAGTGGATTATTTAGTGAATGGACTTGACAGGCTGACCTGAAGATTTTGTTGCATAAATCAGTTAATACTCAGCTTCCATATAAGCCAAAACTACTTCATTGGTATCAGGAAGCCCTGAAATTACTTCTGTAAACTGGAAGAGATCACATTTTTCTAGAGACTTCAACCTGAGTTCTTTTTTCTTGGACTCTCATGCAGATGTGTGTGTAAAGAGTATATAGAGAATAACACTCAGGTAGGAGATGTCAGCATCCTATATTTAGAGCTTGCCAATATTTGGATTGGTAGATTTGTGTTTAACTGTGATTGGAATCACTTTCTTAATTGTGTAGGATTGATCTCCCTGTAGAGATAGATCCAGAATCTGGTCCGGACAAGCATGCCTTTGTATATTTTATACTTTTGTGCCTTGAAGTACAGTACAAAGAGCAGCTAGGATTTAACACATCTCATTATATGCAGCAGAGGCTCCCAAGTCCAGCATCGTTCAGTGAATCAGTGGTCAAACTTGTAATAGAGTGCAGCAGACCTAGATCCTGGTCTCTAGCTTGCTTTCTGCTTTTAAGTGATGAAAGTAATTCATTCAAGCAGCTGCTTTTCTGACTATAAGCACAGATATGGTGCTTGGAGTTGCATAGAGACATCTGATGGAGATTGTGCAAAGGATTTAGGAAGCCTTATAAAGGCTGCAAGAGGTTAAAATATTAATTTCAGAAGGCTGGTAAGTGTGCCCCTCTCTCACCACATGTCAAGTAAGGGCTGAGGTAAACCAGAACCTAATTTTTCTGATAGAGTTCACAAAAGATGCTGTGATTTTTTTTTTTTTGCAAGGAATGTGTGTGTCCTCTCTTGGATGGAAATGTAGCCTGTGTTTTTAAAGTAGTTTAGTGACTGAAGATAAGGCAGGAATTTGGTACTATTGATATGTAAATGAGAAATAATAGTGACCTCAGCCTTGTGTAAAAGTCATTTCATTTCAAATGGAGAGGAGGGCAGAAATAAAAGGAGAAAATGGATGATTTGTCTCTGTTGAATCTCCCTGTCTCTGATCAATGGAAATGCAATAAGGCAACTACCCTTAATGAAGCGAAACATAAAACTAAAGAAACTATTGATCTTATCTACGGTTTTGTTCAACCTAAGGAGGAAGAAAAGAAGAGGAAAAAATGCCCAAACTCTTTTTCATTTTGTCTTGATTGCCCAATCCTATCTTAGACAACCATTTGAAAGCCGCTAAATACAAAGCAGCAAATTCCTTCAAGGAATTCTCCCTCCTGCTTTGTTCCAGTTTACTGCTCTGTGGTCAAAACGGAAAACAATAAAAAAGAAAATTATATTTAAAAAGCTTTTTTTTTTTTTTTCATGTGAAGGGAGTCTGCTTTGTTTCCTAGTTGGAGTTTTGAACCTTCCAGCTTACCATGTGATTTTATTGCTGCCTGTTTTGTGGGATGTAGAGCCCCTTCTCATCTTTTGTTTTTAAAAGACTGAATGCAAGGCTGTGCTCTAACGAGTGCTGCTGAGTACACGATCATGACCTCAAACGAACAAAATCTCCAATGACATATTGATGCTTTCCCAAGATTCATGTGTGATTCGTCTTTAAACTTGCATACCTCTTTGCTGTTACCATGTTCTGTCGTGTTACCTGTTTCACTAATCTTCTTTACTCCTTATTACCTAACCTACTAATTAAGACCCTTCTATAGGGTATTGCACTGTGCCGTTCCATTCATTGCTGCATCTATCATCCTAAGGTTAGTATCTTCTGTGCTACGGTACGCAGCTGAATTCCGAGTCATATGTCTTGGTAATATAGGGAATCTAAAAAAATTCAGTTTCATTCTCTATGAGTACATGCTGGGTTGGAAAAGCATTTCCTTGGCATGTTGTGCCTCGTGGAGGAGATGTAGTGCTAACAGAAAGAGATTGTAGCTTCTTGCATCGAAGGGATTATAAACAAAGCGTAACAAATGAGTTTTAAAATTATTGCAGATATCTTGACGGTGCCCTTTGAAGGAGATTTTACTAGTGATATGGATCCCTCTTTGAAGAAAGCCTTTGGGAGAGCTGAGAAAAAAAAGATTTTTTTTCTGTCCACTTTAATGCTTCTATATCAGAGGAATTGAATACCCCAAGTTTTCTCATTAGACTTGATTAGAGGGAAAAGCCATCCCTTTGCAGACACTGGAAGCAGAGAGCTCAGCACCAAGCAGTATGGCAATACAGTTCATAAAACTTCTTGATATAGACGTTCAGAATGTCTTTGTTGATCAACAATGGTGAGAGTTAGTCTAACTGGAAGATCTGATGTTTTCGATCCCCCTTAACCTGGCTAGCAGGGGCTGAATTGTTTAAAATGAGTGATGAATCAGTGATTTGCCATAGAAGTGTGACTGAACTAAAGTAGTACGCCAAGATGAAAGCCTTTCCTCTTTCTAGTCCTTCAGAGGTGGACTTTCTGGTTTGACTTGCTTCTGCTCAAATTAGCCAAATTGTTACCGATGTATGATTTGTCCACTGAATTACATTGCTCTTTCTTTATAGTTGTCTGTAGGCAGTGCAATATTTTCTTCATATTCTTTATTATTGAAGATTGCTTACCAAATTTCAGTGACAAATTGTTATGTATGCTTTATTCATAAGTATTTTATTACAGTTAATAGTCAGAAATTGAGTTTTCTGATGGAGTTTGCAGATCACATGGTACTCTTCTGTTCTCCAGTAAGATGCATATTGTACTTGTAATTGCAAGTCTGGTGCACAAACTTACAAATAATTTTAATTTGGGCTCTTGCCAATATTCAGCCACCAACAAAATGGTTTCAGCAATATTCTT